TATAGTTAGCACGACAAATGTATATGGTTTGCTTATGGTGTGCATACGTTATTAGAAAGTAACAGGGTATCACTATCTTTTATCTATTAAAAATCAAGGTTTTTTATCGCTAGCCAAGAACTTTAGATTCAACCTACTCTCTGTTTAATATCTGCATACATTAAATTACGAACACAAAAATTATATTTCTTATTTTCAGAAATAAAATTATAATAACAAAAATATGCCAGCGAGTCAATGTGCAATTGACATATCTTACTTTTAACTTTCAAACAATTGTACTCCAACATGTCGCAAGTGTCGAAAAAACGACGGTAGTCTCCATTGCTGTCCACTCCACATTTTTCTCTTGAATTATGAATACATGTCTTTGCATTATAACAAACCTAAAATAAAAATTATTAATATTAAATAAAACAGTGATAAAGCATATTAAAAGTTCTAAATATTTATAGATAAAACTCCTCTATCGTAAATACTTAATATAATAAAAAATAGACTTATCATAGTGGAATTATCACAGCATTAATCACAGTAATCAAATATAAAATAAACAGTTTATATGACATTTTTACATCTCTTTTTAGCTAATTTATAATAAATTAAAAGACGTGACATTTCTAAAACTAACGGTTAACTTTTTTCTTTGGGAGATTCAGTATAAAAATACTAAGATAAAATATAATACTAACTGCTTGATTATCTTCTGCTGCAAAAACAGTCACCAAGCAAAAGGTACCTATTAAATAAAAAATGAACACTCATGTTAATGTCTCATTCATGTTGATCTACGGGGATTTGGGCACAGTTAACCAACACACACATATACACACAGTTAGCTTAACGTAAAACTTAGCCTAAAATATAAATATGCAAATGTATGCCAAAATAAAATTATGCCAAAGTATGTTAGGAAGAGAAAATAATATTATGCCAAAAGAAGAGATCCCGTTGCGGAGTGCGTCCTATAGAACAATATAAGCAAATTCGGGATATTTGATCAGGTAGGAGACGATATGCACAATTGCACATATCATACAATTAAAATTTCTCCGTTTCTGTCTGTTTAAAATTCACGCTTTCGGGTTTCTGATAGCTAACTTTCTGTTCTTCTCAGACCAACCCTAAACACATTAATTGGTCTAATGATGGATCGAATGGAATGACATATGTCCAAAAAATTGTAATGAGGCTCCAAAGTGCCAGGCTCCAAAACTAAAATTAAACGGTATTAACTAAAATTAAATTTGCACCGGGTACGCATGCTTACTTCTGTACCTGAATTCCTTTTTTAGTCTAAATAATTTTAGAAGATTACCTTCTCGTTACGAAAACAAATGTGAATTTAAATATACCGTGACGGGTTATAAAAAATATTATTATATTACAAACCTAAAAATAAAATTACAAAACCCATGTCCTCTTGCTGCTTTTCAATGAAAAACATTTACGACCACGATAACTGAAAATGCAAGGTTGATGTATTTTTTAAACATAGCAATGTAACCTGTCTTCGAATCTATAAAAAAAAACATGTTGTTTAATTAGAATTTAAGACGGCCTATTATAAAAGAACCTATTAAATAATTAAGAAAAAGTCTCGTATGTTATTCTTCTCATTACAAAGAAAATAATTGAATCTGAATTGATTAATTATTTTTTTACTTTAATACTAGATAAAACGGTAGTTTCATAATTCCTCTATGATATTAGCTTTCCACCAGCGGTTTCGCCCGCGTGGTCCTATATCATACATATAACCTTCCTATTGGATCGACCTGTATATTCATGAAAACAACAATAAAATCTATTGATCATTTAAAACAAATATTGTTTAATACTATGTATAGATTTATTAGCATTTTCATGTGTCTTACATAGTTCTTAGGTACATATATTAACAATCATCGGTGAATAACCTCCAGGCGCAGCAGCTATATTATAAGTAGCAATGTGTTTAGAGACTTTTCATTTTTATCTCAGATATTCTGAATGAAAAATACTTTAAAAAATCACCAGCCCAAGAAGACTCGTACCAATATTTTCCAGTGTAGCCTTGCGAATGCAATATTGATAAAATATAATAATAATTCATCTTCGATGTTAGGAGGTTAAGAAGACAGAGAAAAACGTCAATATGCTTTAACGTTATGACGACAATATTAAATTGTATGCACTGAATTCAATTTTTACCTGTTCGTAAAATATTTATTAAGTAGTTAATCATTTATTTAATTAATATCTTGTAATTGTTATGAAATTACTAACGAATAGAAGATTCTGATTTCATAAAAAAATTGGCATAATAGTTGTATGGTTTATAAAAATAAACAAACAAATTTTCAAATATATATATTTCAAATAAAATTATTGAAAAGGACTAAAATTCAATTATTTTGCGTATTTCGATTCCGTTCTTTACTGTTCTTCGTTCGGACATAAAAAGTAATGGAGGTTTGCCATAGCTTTCTCGGCGTGTTAATATTTTTCAATGCTATTTTAGTACATCAGACAACAAAAAGGAAAGTATGAAATTTTTCTAATCCACGCACTTACACACGTTTACCAACTAAGCTTAATAAAAATAAATAGTTGTATTTGTGATAAAATTAATAATTAAATAAAAATGATAATATAGATAACTGATTATATTTACACAATTTTATGATAACCTACACTCCATAGCGATATTATTATTTTTTTAAGTTTCAATAACATTATTTGATGTTTAATGGCTAAAATTATCGATTTGATTTAAATTCATTTGAATGGGCAGATATTTTATCAATACAATTTTAACTTTAGCACAGCTTAATATAAAATTCCAGTTACCATTAGCTTTTTCCCTGAATACATGAAAGACAGAAACTTGAAATCTTTTCATAAAGTACAAATAAATGTCTTATATCCCCGTTTCCATGGAAATAAAACCCACACTCTTAACCGGCTTTAGTTACAATAGAGTTATAAAAATAGCTAAAAGCTAGGACCTCACAATTCCACGCACAAAATTTAGTCAAAGCATTTATCTGTTTATTTTGGTTGGTAAATATAGAATTTTCGAAGATAGAAAGATAATTAAACTTCCTATAAATAAGATAATTTAGAAGTAATTTTTTCAGTACCTAGTTAATTCGATACGTCAAGTTTTTTCTTTAAGTAGATCTATTCCTTGGTCGTTATATTCAAGTTCAAGTGAATTGGTTAAATGAAAATTTTTGTTTGGCTTAGGCTTGGTTTTAGATTGAAAAACACATGAAATACGCATATCTGCGCCTATGTCTCTATTATATTATATATGTACAATATGTATATTTCTGTGACGGTATCGGCAGTTCTTCTCAGAGCAAATTCTCTAAAACTGTTTGTAGTTTACAAATTAGTGAGAGATAAATAATCAATTAATAATTATTTCAACATTTCCATATATAGTTTCCTTTTTATGGATATGTTAGATAATAATAGTCAGAAGGTAACAGCATTTAATTGTTTTATTGTCAGTCAGTCATTAGTTTGAAACGACATTACCCATACAAATTTGGCATTCATTAGAGCTTAAAGGCGTCATTAAACCTTAATCGAAGTTTGTGCAACTCACCGTTACACGGGTAATATTTGACGGATCACAATGTAGAAAGCACTAATTCTACAAAAAACTCCTACGTCTAGAAAATGTGAAAAGCAAACGTTTATTATATAACTAAAATGCATATCAATAAAATAGATAATTCTTCATCATCTGTCTATTATTTTCCTAACTGCTAGGTCACGGGTTATTCCTAAAGATGGAGACCATTATCCACCAAGTGGGCTCAGCTCAGCAGCACAGAGGAGAACAAGATAACAATGTTTGGTTAACTATCCTGTGCTCGGCCTTTGTAAAGGTTTCTTAAGACTAAACGAGCTAACCACTGCAAATAAATAACTTTTCAGTATACTTGCTTAGATGCCCTAGTTTGCATCCACAGTGGGCCCAGACGTTGCGGATTGGATTTGTCTACCAGAGAAGTCAGGTGGTTTCTAAATAAATGCGATATGTTGGAGTTCAACTGTGAATATAAAACTAGTAAGAAAAACGTTTCTATTTATTAATTACAGGAATGATAAATCGGCCATTTATTTAGATAAAATATTCATCATCAGCCGTAAGACACCCACAACTGAGCATAGGCCTCCCCCATAGATTTCCACGACGATCGGTCCTGCGTTGTGAGATGTACCGCGTGTATGCCGGCCTAGAATAGCACCACCCCCTCTCATCTCGTCAATACAGCCATTAGGAGATGGGCAGCAGCTTTCCTAAGAATTATGGCCCACTGCGATCGCCAACCCGTCGAGCCAAGCGTGTCGATTATGGCTATTCCCCCTTATGGATAACCTTAAAAGATAAAATATTAATAAGTCACAATTACACCAAAACTTTCCTCATAAGTTATTCGTTCTTTAGTGAAAATCACGTGAAACTTCGTTCATTTTCTTTTCAGTTTTTCATATTCTTTATTGAGCAAACTTTGTTGTATAATCTAGAAATAACATAGTCTAAAACAACAAAATTTTGTCTTTAAATATTATCCTACGTTGTTTCATTTTTTATCTCCCAACTCTCTATAAACTAAGACGATAACTAAAAAATAACGTAGAAAATATATACTTTTTCTTAAACTTTTTAAAGCCACGATATCGGGACTCAATAAATAGGGAAAGGTACATGGTGGTGACTCCGTAAATAACTATCATTCTAATGTAAGGACATTGTATCTAAAATGACAATATCTATCTGTTTATTATTTCAGAATTCGACACAGCTCCTCGAAGTAAATGCAAGCATGTTCCTCCGTTGTAAAATATTTACACAACTAACCAAGTTACCAAGATCTAAACAGGATGTTTTAGGTTTACTGATACAATAGATCGTAAGTGTAAACTAGATTATGGAGTCGCTTAAATCATTGTAAAGCTAGATACCATTGGAGACGATCATAACCTGAAGACCGTTAAAAATGTCCGCTAAAGGTACTTGTTTTTAGTGTATTGTGTTCAACAATAATAATAAAAATAACCATATAATTTAAGTATCGTTTTTTTAATAATTATCAGCGTATTAATATCATTATATAATTTAAGACTAATAATATAAATAGGAAAGATTTGACTGATTTTTTTTTTGTTTGCGATGACTAGACCGCTAAACTACTGCACCGATTTAAAAAAAAAATCACCTACGGAAAACTGTATCATATGCAGCAGATATAGACTACGAGTATATTTTATCCCGAAAAACTGCAAATAAAAGAATGAAAATGGGAGTAGAAATTTGTATTTTATAAACCGTTATTTACTATTCAAAATGTCACTGTAATTATATCCGTGTCACGATATTTTCAATTATAAATAATGTTACTAATTAATTTTTATCCTGCTTACCAGTTCCCTAGGGGTGCCGCGGGCGAAGCCGTAGGCAGAAAGCTAATAAGAACATAAAAGCATCTCAATTAGACATTGCGTCACTCATGTCACTGCACTTAATGTGTCACATTTTGAAAATGTGTTAACCTGATTGTCATGACAGCAAATAAACACTGGTCACTAAAGACTTCGATTGACAGATATTGGCATATCACTTATTGCCTGAATATTACTAACTATTGTCTCTCGGCTTCTCCCAAGTAAATTATAACCTACGTCACCCGCGTGTGCTTGCATGCCTTCTTGCGAAAGCGAAATGATCTTAATAAACAAATAGACACATACAGACGGATAAAGAGAAGATCCTATAAGAGCACTTTTTACCTTTTGTATTATGGAACCTAAAAATAAAAAGTTAATTTATAATAAAGACTCTGTCAGTTTTTACATTCTTTCGGATACAGCTTTGTAGTAACACTTACTAAAATAAAAAGAGAAGGAAAAGGAAAGCTTTTCTGCCTTTATTCACCTAATAATGTCTAACACTAATCTTATTTTCAGTTTTTATACTCGCATTTTTCATCACAACTGTATTATCTCACGGGCCACCCAAAGATCGCGATAACGAGGACATCACCATGGGGCGGAAGGTAAAAAATGTAATACGTCGTTTTATAGATGAAATCATTATTTTTCTTAGGATTATTCTTCTTTCGAAACTCGAGGAACGCTCGAAAATCTCAAAAAATGCTCGATAGACTCAAGAAATGTTCAACAGACTAAAGAACCGCTCGTGAGACTCGAGAAACATGTCAAGAATGACATAAACCATTCAATAAAGTAATAAGAATAGTTATTAGGCTTGTGCCTCTTCTAGGAGACTTCGCTTGCATCATTGAGTTTTTAGTAGTGCTAGTGTTCTAGTGTATTTAATATGTGATATTTTTATGGAAATAAATAAAAATTGTAATTTTGCGCTGTAGCGTTTTAATTCTTTCTTTATATGTTCTAGTTTTTAGCAATTTAACTAAATTTTTTATCGGCAGATGGGTGCAAAATGGTGCAGCATGGCGAAGGTGTGCAACCACGACCGCGTACCAATCTGCGGACTGAATCACGCGGGCGAGGTTATGGGGTTCAGGGACCTGTGCGATATGTTCGATTACAACTGCATCCGGAGACGAAGTAATGACAGAAACATATTCCTCAGTCGTGTAGTGTAGTACCGTGGTGTATTAGAAGCATATCGGTTTTCATACATTTTGTGTGGTTAGAGAGATTTGCGTTTTGCTAGAGAAATATTCTCTTTTATGAAACAACACGCGACAGTAACAAAAACAACACTAACTAAAACTAAAATGGTTTTGCACCTTAAGATAGTCATATCTTTAGTTTAGTTAAATTACTAAGAACTAGAACATATAAAGAAAGAATTAAAACGCTACAGCGCAAAATTACAATTTCTGATTATTAAAATGATGTGTGCACATTTTATGTCAATAAAATGTGCACACATCATTTTAATAATCAGAAATTATTCACTAGTTTAGATATAAAACTAAATTGCTAACTCTTATCAAAAATTTTCAAGTTAGCCGTTGGGCGTCGAGGGACGATTTCCAAACGGATTGATGAAGGAAAAAACTTTTCTGTGTACTATCAAAAGTGTCTGGCAAAACTTCGTTGTTTCAGATTTCCACAACACAAAAGCTTCAGATACTTTAGCTCAAATAAATGCATCAATTCAATGTAAAAAGGATATTTTTTTCAATCAATAAACTAAGAAGTAAACAATATCATACCAGAATACATTAGCATAATCTCTATTGCTCTTTTTTAATACTCAGATACCCAGATATCGCGAAATGGGAGTTGTAGTTTGAGTCGGGGTATCTGAGGGAATTTTTAAGTATAGGAATTTTTTAAGTATTAAGGATATTTCTCAGTATAGTATTCTAAATTCAAATTGATAAAATAAGATACTCAAAATACTTTTATGACATAAATATTAGTAAATATGTTTTATGTTTGTATTATATATTTGCACACACGCATGATAAATTGGCAATTTAATATATTTGATAACAAAATCCTCAGTCAACTTGCGCGATTGGCCCCGAATTGAAGTGACATATTTAGCGCTTTCTTCTATGCGATAGACATAAAGCAAATATAAGATGTAGGGTAAATCCTATTCAAAACAAAAAATATTTATTTCGGGCATTCAGTTCGCAACACCAGTTGTTCTTCTTTAGCTGTTTTCCCACGACTTTACTCACATAAAATATAGCTTCATCCGCTACGATGTTGGTAGCTTCCTGTAGATGAATGAATTTTTATAAACAATCCAGTAGCTCAGAACCTATTCAATGCAAACAAATAATCTTTTTTTCTTCTCTCTTTATAATATTAGTATAAATAAGATATCGAATGCTTCTGAATTTCAGATTATAAACAAACTGCCTGTCCTGAAGATAAATCCATACTGACGGTGTCCCGCCGGCCGACGAACAGCTACTACGATGACTGATTCATTACAGCTACACAATTAACTCATCAACCAGTTGCACAAACGTCCATTAACGTTTAACGACGACTATAAGCTACTAATAAAAAAAAAATTAAAAAATTTAGACCAGCAATGTCGCTTTAAAAGTAATGACAATTTTAATAGACGTTTGTGCAACAAGCAGTACATTTAACAACTAATTTATTTAAACAACGTTTTATGAGAATGTATAAAATAAACGATTAAAATTTGTACGTAAAGGATATCTTTGCATCTTTTTATTTTATTTCTGCGCTTTTAAATAGCGTTTAACCCTGTACTGCATAAATTATTAAAGCGTTGAAAAAAATTGGCTGTATTTAATTTCCATCATTTATCTATCAATAAGATATGCCAAAACAAAAATGCAAAAAGTTTTATATATTCGATTTTTTTTTTCATGAAACCATATATCTCGTACGCACTGAGACTTTGCAACATGAGCATTTAGCGTAAGTTAATCCAGCGATGACGTAATTCTCAGGTTCTAATTGATTTCATTGTCAATTGATCTTCTCAGTGGGGGCTTTGCGATGCCTCGCGATTTTATTTTTTAATGACAAGGTTAGTTAGAATGACATCGTCTTCATTGGAACTTTCGTCATCACTTTCGAAAACTATAACTGGTTTCTTAACTGAAACAGGCTTTAAGGGATTATCATCTTCAAAATCTACCTTCAATATCGCTAAGCTTACCATCACCCGTAATAGATTTAGTGAGTCTGTAAAGAGACCAAAGTCCTTTTCTATGAAACTAAAACAAAAATAAGTTTGAATCACATAAAGATGAGTATATGTAGAGTATATACTCTACATATACTCATCTTTTTGTTACGCTTTATTTAAAAATAAAGTTACAACAAAACCATATATAGGCCCATATTGTAATAGTGTTAAGTCTTTAAGTAATATAAGTTTTTGAGCACTAATTACCAATTTCTGCCGATTAGTTATACCCTGGTGATAGGAAACCATCACCATCCCAGATGATTATCAGGCCATTATTGCTCTCACTGCCAGGGCACAGCCCTTCCCTAATGATAGGCGAACTCCACCACACAGGTGTGGTGACAATTTATAATGTCTTCTGAAGGACGGAAGAGCTCATGATATAAAATTTTTGCTCTCCCACCCTTTTCTTATAACGCAGCAGAAATTGCCATGGTTCTCCGATCCCACGCCCATCCTGTAAAAAACAGGCGTAAGCGAGGCCGGTCTACCTAATGAAAACCGCTCCGACCCTCCTGGGATGAAGGACCACCACTGAGCTACCCGAGATCTGATAGGACTGACGAATTTTTCAAGCACTTCTATAGAGCGTATTACAGCCGGAAGAAATATTTTTACAAATATTTGAACTTTCGTTAAAGATGAAAACTTGTTCTAATTATTATATTTGACCAATTTTGCATTCACAATGCTGTACTGAAAGACTGAAAGTCGAGACATCGACGTGACGTGACGTCACGTCGATGTCTCGACTCAACTCAACTCGATTTCATGACACTCACGTTGTCTTCACCTTGACGTCACACCAATCAATTTGATGTCACGACACTCACATTCATCGATATAATGACAATGTGATCAACTTGAGGGTCATGACACTGATGTGACGTCAATTTAAGTGTGTTGATGCTATAAATAAGTACGTTTGAAATCATAGTTATATGAATAAATAAATTATGTCATTCGCATTGACGTCACATCAGAGTCATTACACTCAACTCGATGTCACGACACTCAAATATGGCATCACATCGGTGTCACGATTATTAACTCACTGACACGACACTAACATTGCCATCACATCGATGTCACAATACTCACATTGACGCCACATCGATGTCACAAAACCTTGCATCTACAACACGCAGTTTGCCACGTTAAAGATTAGGTGTGCCGACAAGCAAAGCGGGAGGGAGGATATTAGGTTGACTGTGAGAAAACCAGAATCGACTTAACTAATATTAGTAACATATCTATTTAGTTTTACTTTATTATAAATGGTTGAAAGCATAGTTATATAAGTAAAAAAATACAATGCCCAAATGTTATTATAGCACTTCTCGGAACTTTGCGCTAACTTCCGGTCATTGTTAATTACCCAAGTTATAAGCTGTAGACACATTTCTTCAGATTATTAAAGACACATTCTTATAGAAAAATATTTTTTACATATTTACAATCACACTGAAAGAACGAAACCATATCTTTTTTAAGTTTAATTATAACAACATAATAAAGTTGGAAATTAAAACCTTTTACAATGATATGTCAAAGGTTGCTGAATGAATTTATTTTAATTCTTAATTAATGTAATTTTATATTCTTAATGAATAATGCTTCAAAAATTCACTTTGCCCCGAGGTACTCTGTAACGGGACAAAGTATATTATTTAAGCATTTTTCATTAAGAATATTTGATATATAATATCATGTTGTTTCAACACAATAAAATATCCCTAACTTAAATTAATGAACATGTATGTAGATACCCTTAATTAAGGTGTTTGTTCTACTCTGAACTAGACAAAGCCCTCGGAAATACTCACAGCCTACGTGCGGTAAGAGGATTTATGAAACATGTCCGCTGAAAAACAATTACTTATTTTGTGTGCAATTATTCTCACCTTAGTAAATGGTCATTTGATGGGCGACAAATCGTATTTGGTATGTATTTTAATAGTGTTTTGTAAATTATCGCATATTATTAATGCTTACTGCACAGTGTTATTTAAAATATCCAATAAGATGGATATATATGGACTTTTATTAGTTGTAGAATACTTTTAGATCACCAAATATTTAATACACATAAAATCGTTAATAAATGAAAACTTTTGAACCAGTTATTAATTTTAAATGTGTTATTAATTAAACGAACGTAATTAAAGACGTGTCGTCTTTAATGTACGTACGAACGTAAAGACGACACTAAATGAATATCTTACAAATAAACATAATTTCTACGATCTCTTTTAGTTGGATTTTTTATAATACATAATAATAAATAAGTCTTTCTCTGAATATAAATAGCTTTTCTCCTTTACACATTTTTTTAACATTAATTTTATAATACAATACAATCCTTTATTCTATGGTAGCCCGAGAATTTTCTTGCAGTTAATTATAACTTGTAGTTAGTAACGCATCCAAAAGAAGGCATTTTTATATGTATTGTTAGAATATATATTATAGTAATATTACAAAGAGGAAAAAATTGGTTATTGTTGAATATACATTGGCATAGGCTTCAATTTCGGGGGCTTAGTTGAATGAAAATGATCTCTTGATAGATATTAAATGACGACATAGACGACCTCTGTAGTCGAGTGACAAGCACGCCAGGTTTTCTTATTGTCTGCAGTCTGGGCGTTGTGCTACTAATCATTATCAACATTAACATTAGTTACTTGCCCACGTTGGATAACGAACTCGTGAGACTCGAGAAGCGTTCGAGAGGATCGGGATGTGCCTATCTCTCGCTCTCTGCCGGTACTCGAATATCTCAAGTTCATTATGCTGCGCAGACTAGAATTATGTATTATGTATGTGACTGTCTTATATCTGTTCATTAATATTTATTACTTTATAAACGGAATATAATGATATTTATTATAGGTATCTCGCTCCGGCTGTTTCATTAGAACTACTTTTCTAACTGTCAAAAGCATGTACTCATCACAAATATGAATAAAATTATTAAATATTTATCATAGGTATCACACTCCGGCTGTGTCATTAGAACTACTTTTCTCTGTCAAAAGCATCTTCCCAATTATAAATATGAATAACAATAAAAATAAAACCATTATGAAGGTAAGGCAACATTTTATTTTCATATGT